ATTTCCGACCGCTCGGCCGAGAAAGAGGCTCCCCCCTAGTGCGCCCTAAGGCGCCCCGGATCCGAGCTCCTCTTCATGAGGGGCTCGTTTGGGTCTCCGCCCGTGCGGATTCCCTCCTCCACCGCGGGCGGGCGAGACGACCTCGGGAGCGACCCGAGGATGCGTCCGCCATTCGCAGGAGCCAAACCGGAAGTCACGGAGTTATGCATTGTTTGTTTACATGTATGTTTGTAGTGTATAATGAAAAGAAAAAATAATAAAAGTGTACCTTTGGGTATTTAAAAACAAACAAACAACAGAATAGATTTTTGGGGTTTGTATAGGTTTCTGCCCTCAAGCCTGTCCAGGAATGAGAGGGAATCCTTTACTTTCACAATACATTAAACAAGAACCCACAGAGGTAGGCTACCCTCTCTGGATTCAGAACAATAAGCCACCAGAACCTCTTTTAACTAGAGTCCCCGTCCAGCCTAAGAGCAAGGTTCAGACTCTTAGCTGGCATCTGGGTTTTACACATTAGCACCTCTATCTAGAGATGCATGCTTAATTCTTACAAAGGTAGCTCATAGGGTGAGCAGAAGGCACAGGAGTTTAACCTTGGAACTCAGTTACACATCAGAGACCATTTAAAAACAAGAATAAATTTTTATTCAACAAAGAGCATTGCAATTAGACCATAAAGATTTCAAAATAACAAGCCTAAGGCAGTTTGCCTTAACTGAACATTAATGCTTCATATTTACCATGTCAGGAACATCTACAGTCCAGGATTCCAGAGGATCTTGAAGGGAAAGCCCATTTTTGCACACTATGTGCTCCAGTTACCAAGCAGGTCTTTGTTCTCCCAGAGGCCACATGTCCAGGTGCAATAAAACAACAAGCAGGGAGCAGAGAGCTCACGAACAGGAACAAGAACACAAGAGTAGCAGAGAGAACCGAACAGAACAAGAGCAAGAGAGAGACTCTCTCATAGGGAATGACCAGTTATAGTCCAATTCCAGTCACAATCAGCTGTGGCCATGCAGCCAACTGCGAGTGGGCAGGGGGGTGGCCAATTCTTGGTTGTCATGGGTGCAAGTGGGGATAGGCTGGACGTCTGGAGACTCCCTCTGCAGTCAGGTTACCCCAAACTCCAGTCTCCCCATCGCTGGCCTAGCTTCCAGCATGGAAGTGTGAAGAATGTGGGTTTATGGCATGCAATTGAGGCCATGGGGCCCACCATTTGGCTTGTAACAGGAAACAAGGCATAGCCTGTTATCAGAAAGATATCACAGGAGAATGCAGGAGACATTTAGAAATCAATATTTCTATACAGGGCTGTCAAGAGGACCGTTTCTCCCATACACTATCAGAAAAACTGGTTGGCTCCAGCCCATTATATGCAGACCTCTTATCAGCTGAATACCACATTAGAAACTTCTGTAATTTGAATTATGTGCTTCTTTGTAAAAGACAGCGATGTGTATGCAGGAATCAGAAGCAGAGAGTTGGCAACAGAGATAGGTCTAAATATGGTTTGTGATAAGATTGTCCATAGGATGAAGCCGGCAATATAAAGATCTTTTCATTCCACCATCACTTTGTGTAACATTCATTTCCTGGCCTCATTTTACATCTGGGAATAGTTTGCAGTTATTTTTTCCCCTCATCCAAGGGCTGTGAGGTGTTTTATGGCGCTCCCGAGGCTGCGACCTTAGTTTTGAAAGCTCATTTTAAAAGAATAAATAAACCTGTGTTGAGCGATAAATGGGTTGTTGTCAGGGCTCTTTTTGTAGAAAAAGCCCAGCAGAAACTCATTAGCATATTAGGCCACACCCCTGACAGCACAGCTCATTAGCACATTAGGCCACACCCCCATGTTACCAGAAGTGTGGTTATCCAGCCACACCCACCTTTTGCTTGTTATTCTGTTTACCTTGTTTGTTGTCAAAACCCAGGGCCTTTTTTTGTAGCAGGAACTCCTTTGCATGTTAGGCCATACACCCCTAATGTAGCCAATCCTAATGGGTTTCTGCTGTTGGGTGTGGCCTGTTATGCTAATGAGTTCCTGCTGGGCGTGGCCAACTTGGGAGCCAGCCGGAACTCCGTTCCTGTGCGTTCCTGCCCCAAAATAGCCCTGGTTGTTGTGATTAGGGTTATCGTCGGGACTTGTCTGCGGGACCGTCACCCGGCCCGTTCTGACTTCAGACCCTTTCTTGTCTTTCTAGCTGTGGTTGGTCAGGCGAAGCTCCTAGCCCCGGAGAAGATGAAACACAGCATCAAACTGGTGGACGACCAAATGAACTGGTGCGACAGTGCCATCGAGGTACTTTGGAAGTCTGAGTTTTCCTTCCTCTTCCTGCCGTTCTCCCTAGATGCGTTAGACAGGATTATTCCCATGGAGGGTCTATGTGGAGCCACACGCCGTGGGTAGAAATTACACATTACATCCGTAGCTCAAAAAGGACACCGCAGAGCTGGAAAAAGTGCAGAAGAGGGCAAGCAAGATGATTAGGGGGTTGGAGAACTTTCCCTATGAGGAGAGGCTGAAGGGTCAGGGACTTTTCCATTTAGAAAAAAGACAGCTAAGGGGAAGACATGACGGAGGCTTATACATTTTTCTCCCTCTCCCAAATGACTCCAACTTATTTATTTATTTATTATTAATTGGATTTATAGCCCGCCCTCCCCAAATGGGCTCAGGGCGGCTAACAAAAGAGGCAAATGCCATCACAAAACAATTAAAACAGCATAAAAACAATCATGAAACAAAGTGCGGTGCTCTTGATGTTAAGTCTTATTAGTCCAAGATGGGTTCCATTTGTCAGCCTGACCTGACGGCATACTTGAGGGCATCCAATGAGGTTGATGGGCAGTAGGTTCAGGATGGACAAAAGGAAATACCCCTTTACACAAGGAGTGATTCAAAGGTGGAATTTGCTGCCAGAGGAGGTGGTGATGGCCACAGGAAGAAACAGCTCTAAAAGGGGATTAGATAGATTCATGGAGGATATGTCTATCAGTGGCTGCTAGCCATGGTGATTGAGGGGAACCTCCACATTCAGAGGCACTGAACATCTGAATCCCAGAGCCAGGAGGCAACATCAGGAGAAGGCCTCGGCCTCCCTGCTCTGTTGTTGGCCATCCAGAGGAACTGGTTGGCCTGTGTGTGAGACAGGATGCTGGACTAGATGGACCACTGGGATTCGTATAAAAATGTAAGCTATACATTTTAAGGAGAGGAAATCAAGTTATTGCAAGGATGAAAGATTAATTTTGCTGATGTATGTTTAATTGGAATTATGAATTCAGAGCTTCTGTTATAATGTGATATTGAATAATTGGCCTTGGGGCATTGAAAACTGTGAAGATTAGATATTGCGTTACTGGGGTGGAAAGCTAGATATAGAGTTATAGAGGGGAGGGAAATTAATTTTGATAAAGAGTCAACTTCCCATTTTGAATTTATACAAGTGAAAATGTCAGTGATATGTATTTCATAAACTGCTGGGATAAATAATGATTAAAAGGGAATATGGCAGAAAGGGGTGAGTAATTAGGTGGGAAGCTAAGCTGTTTATAAGTTGTAGTAAATTCATGCCACTGGTGGATATTTATTTGGGAAAAGAAGTATATAATAGTAGTTGCAATAAGATATTGACAAAGGATGTTGAAAATATATGGATAGGAATTCTTCAGAGTAATGAAAAAGGATATTTAGTGGTTAATGACCATCTGAGACGTTGTGAGGACCTTATCCAAAAAATGTTGACTTTAAATTGTGAAGGTTAATTGGAATATATTTAGTTAAATCTTAAAAGAAGGTCTTTATAAAAAAAAGCGTGCTCAGTTGCAATATTATCTAGAACTAGTTGTATCGCTGTATACAGGAAACATTGTTTATGTTAATGTTTATGTTTGTTTTTGTCTTTGTGTTTACTTGTGTGTCTATTATTTCTAAAAATTAAATAAAAATATTTTTTTTTTAAAAAAAGGAGAAGGCCTCGGCCTACCTACTCTGTTGTTGGCCATCCAGAGGAACTGGTTGGCCTGTATGTGAGACAGGATCAATGTTCCCTCTAAGCTGTGGAGTCTTGTGAACAAAAATTCTACTTTGTGAGCTACTGGCATTAAAGTTGTGAGCAAGCGATTTGGCTACTGCATACATTGGTTTGCTCTGGAGCCATCTTTCCTGAGCTAAGAGAAAAATGTGTGAGCCGGAGGCTAAAAACCTGTTAGCTAGCTCACACTAACTCAGCTTAGAGGGAACACTGGACAGGATGCTGGACTAGATGGACCGTTGGTCTGATCCAGCAGGGCTCCAGCATGAGAGCACCAGATTCACACCAGGAATGCTCTTATGTTCATGTTTCCCTTTCCAGTGTGCCGGTGGCTTCTTCGAAGAGCAGTCTGCCTATAGGCTAATCCCCTTCCCCACCCAAGGTTACAGAGAATGCTGTTCCCCAGATTTCTGTTCTAGCCAGGGGCGTTACCAGTATGTTCTGTCTCGTTGTTTCTAATTAGTACCTCCTGGACCAAACGGACGTGCTGGTGGTCGGCGTTCTGGGATTGCAGGGTACTGGCAAATCCATGGTGATGTCACTGTTATCGGCCAATCAACCTGAAGAGGACCAGAGGTACTTAGGAACTGGGGCGGTGACGGAGGACAGGTGGAAATAGCTACTCATGGGGTGTTTAAGGGAAGAGGCTGGGAGGAGAAATTGAAGGAAGAAGGTAGCCAATGAGATTCTGAAAGTGTTGCATAGGGCGCTGGTGCATGGGCTTTGGGTGCTTGGCCAGATTGTATCGGGACTGGGACTGGGTAATAAAAGACGGGAAGTAGCAGAAAAGGGAAAGGCTTTTACTGGTTTTATTTGTCACTGTCATAGCTGGGGCAGGGGGTTGGGGATTAGGAAGTTGATGTGGTAGAGAAGGACTGCAAGCTTGCAGTCAAAGAACTGGCTTGTTGGTTCAAATTGATGCATGAAGTTCCGTCCCCACCTTCCCTTCTCTTCTTGCATCCTTAAAGCCCACTTCTTTGCCTACTAGGGCCCAGGAGAAGCTTTAATCCCCGATAATTTCCCCTTCCCTCATGGAAGGTGGACTGCAAACATTCTGTTAGCTTTGGTCCCTGAACACTTGGGATGTTTCTGAACATTCCATGCCGTCACACCAACCCCTCCAATTAGTGATAGATGTTTCACTGCCACAGGTACCATACAGTACAGATTTTTCCAACCGGCTTTGCTTCTTGCCCACTGTTCTCGTTTCCTGTTTTCCAGAACCTACGTGTTCCGCACTCAGAGCCAAGAGATCAAGGAGCGCGGGGGCAACCAGACCAGCGGCATTGACTTCTTCATCACTCAGGAGCGGATCATCTTCCTGGACACTCAGGTCTGCAAAAGGGTCTTCCGTCAGGAGTTCCTCCCAGATGTCCTCTGGGGGAGCCCACGCACGGAAGCCGGTGTGGTGTAGTGATTAAGAGTGTCAGACCTAGTATCTGAGAAATCCGGGTTCGAATCTCCTCTCGTGCCATGGAAGCTTGCTGGGTGACCCTGGGCCAGTTACACCCTCAGCCGAACCTACTTCACAGGGTTGTTGTGAGGATAAAATGGAGGAGAGGAGAATGATGTCTGTTGCTTAGGGTCCTCACTGGGGAGAAAGTCAAGGTATAAGTGAATTGACTAAATAAGCCACCACATTCCTTTTGATAAATTCAGTTCCACTCCTCAGGTGCTTCCTCCATCTCCTGTGGAATAGATCTGTTTGTTCACATTCTGAGACTGAGCGTGCTTCAGTTAGGATATTTATTTATTTATTTATTTAATTGTATTTATACCCCGCCCTCCCCGCATGCGGGCTCAGGGCGGCTTACAACAGTATGGCACTCGGTGCAATAAAACATGATAAAAGCAATTTAAAACAGTCAGTACATAGGCAGCGCCCAAGGATCCCGCGTGACTAGAACACATGCCCTTTCATTCCAAGGGAGGTTGCTGTGGCCCCCTGATGTTAATCTGCCACTCAGCCTCCGGCGGTGCTGCTGAACGGTCCTCATTGGTGGTAGTGGTGCCGGCGGCGGCTCCTATTCGAAAGCCTGGCGGAAGAGCTCCGTCTTGCAGGCCCTGCGGAACTGCAACAAGTCCCGCAGGGCCCTGATCTCCTCTGGGAGCTCATTCCACCAGATAGGAGCCGCCACCGAGAAGGACCTGGCCCTTGTGGCAGCAAGCCTGGCCTCTTTCGGGCCTGGGGTCGCAAGACGATGTTGCGACCCCGACCGAAGTGCTCTTTGGGGCCTATGTGGGGCAAGGCGGTCCCTCAGGTATGCTGGATAACTGGTATTTAATTAGGATAACTAGTTTGGCCCTGGTGGCAGGTAGCAGTTCCTCTGTGCCATGGGGCACAGACCCTCCGGTAGCGTGTGCATGTCAGGGGTGCCCATACAGGTCTCGAGGGGGCAGGCGGCCTTCTGAATTTGCCGGGAAGACTAAACCAGGGAGCAAAGAAGAGGAGGAGATTGGATTTATACCCCGCGCCCTTCACTCAGAGTGTCTTACAATCTCCTTTCCCTTCCCCTCCCCACAGCAGACGCCCTGTGGGGTAGCTGGGGCCGAGAGAGCTCTTTCGAGGACTGCTCTTGAGAGAACAGCTCTGAGAGAACTTTAAGTGACCCAAGGTCACACCAGCAGCTGCAAGTGGAGGAGTGGGGAACCAGACCCGGTTCTCCCAGATTAGAGTCCTGCGCTCTTAACCACCACACCAGACTGGCTCCAAGGAGGATGCCAGCTCATATGGAGCTTCCTTATACTGAATCCGACCTTTGGTCCATCAAGGTCAGTAGCATCTACACAGATTGGTGGTGGCTGTCCAGGATCACAGGGAGAGGTTTCTCAGGTCACCTCCTTCCCGATCCTTTTACCCTGGAGATGCTGGGGGTTCGAACCTGGGACCTTCTGCTTGCCAAGCCGAGGCTCTACCACTGAGTGGCAGCTGAGTGGAAGCCAGGTGCATACAGGGGTCGGAGCACTGACTGCAGAGGCTGTTCTCTTGCCTTGCAAGATGTTGGAGCAGTGCTGCATCCAGGAGCCGGGGGTGGGTGGGGGGAATGCCATACCGGCGCCCTCCAAAGCCTTGCGTCTCTCTCCTTGCAGCCGATCCTCAGCCCCTCCATCCTCGACCATCTCATCAACAACGACCGCAAGCTGCCTCCCGAGTATAACCTGCCCCACACCTATGTTGAGATGCAGGTAGGGATCGTTCCTGTTTTGCACCAGCCGGCCATTTGGGAGGGCGGGAGGGGGCTGCAGTATGCCTTGGGGCAGGGGTGTCGAACTGACTGGAAATGTGTTATTTAACGGTTACAAAACTCTTTAACTGTGTCTGTCTGTGTCCTTTATAATGTTTATCCCTCCGCCGGTGTTCCCTCTAAGCTGAGTCAGTGTGAGCTAGCTCACAGGTTTTTAGCCTCTGGCTCACACATTCTTGTCTTTGCTCAGGAAGGAGGGCTCCAGAGCAAACTGATGCAGTAGCCAAATGGCTCGCTCACCGCTTTAATGCCCGGAGCTCACAGAGTGCGATTTCTGCGCACAAGACTCCACGGCTTAGAGGGAACATTGCAGTCTCCGCTACCTGGCATTACCTTTTATGACACACGTGGCCCGGCCCAGCAAGGTCTCATTTATGTCAGATCCGGCCCTCCTAACAAATGAGTTCGACACCCCTGCCTTGGAGGCTTTCTGTACTGTGGCACGTCGTGCCTTAAGCAGGTCTCTCTCGTTTGTTGGCATCTTTTTCCAATTGTGTAAGTCTAGCCCTGTAGCCCTAATCTGGATGGCCCAGGCAGGCCCGATCTTGTCAAATCTCAAAAGCTAAGTAGGGCCAGCCCTGATTAGTTCATGGATTGGAGACCACCAGTGTTGTACATATTAGATTCCATGTCAAAAATGGAGTCAAATGAGGAGGAAGATCTATGTTTTATTTCAATTAACAGAAAAACAATTGGGCCAAATAGTCTATCCAAAATTGACTACTTACTTCTCAGCATATTCAGGAAATATGCTTCAATTAATAGGAAAACAATTCGACCAAATAGTTAATCAAGAATTGACAACTTTCTTCCTTTTCTTCTTCATCTTCTTCTTGAACATATTCTGAACATATTCAGGAAATACATGATATTTTATACATGGACTGACATCATCAAGAAAACAATATTCAAACAGCATAATTGGTTACAAAAGACAGTGTGGTAATTTGAGTCATAATCCTCTGATTGGCCAGATATAAAGACACATATCTAAGTCAAACTAAGTGTTTACTTAACCTAACCTAAATGATAATGGGCAAGGATTCTTCCTATCAGATTAAAATCTTATCTGACCCAGACATTGAAAGGTTTTGCCCTAAGAACTACAGAATCATGAACTTTGTACCTATTATGTTGTCTGCTAACAATATCAGACCTACAAGAGGAAAGCCTTCTATATAACAGGCCTTTCTAACATCCTAATAAAAGATTACTTAAAGAATAAATCTATAAAAACCAGAGAAATATGAATATGAACAATCAAGAAGGAAAAAACCTATATATAAAAATCTTTCCATTCCCATTCATACTACACCAGGGAAGCCAGGGTCACTTTGCAGAAGGCAGGCAATGGCAAACCACCTCCGTCTCTTGCCATGAGGAGTCACCACATGTTGCCTGTGACTTGACGGCACTTTCCACCAGGCCCGGAAGCCAGGATTTTGTGGCTTGTGGGGCAAATTTTGTTTCTGGCGGGGCTGAAGTTCTCAGTGCAGAAAGAAAAGCCATTTAGCCAATAGAAAACCGTTAGCAGGATAGATCTCTAAACTGCAAGCTGTCGACCACTTTAGACGACAGTTCTCAGCTGCTGCAGGTTAATCACTTCTGCCCGCCTAAGCAACAATTCTGATCACAAGCCGGCAAGTGGAGGTGACGATTTCTATAGTCAAGAAAGCTAACACTTAAGCAGAAGAACTGTCTTAAAGGACACCAGTTTCTTGACTCAGAGTTAGATGGTATCCTAGAGGTCACCTACTCTGACCCCCTTGCTCAGTGCGGGAATTAGTCAACTACAGCACACCCCTCTGCTTAAAGGGGCACACACCTTTAAAGAAATGTTTAAAAATGATTGAAAAAATGATTTACAGGAGAAATTCTTGTGGGGCTGTGCCTTTAAGAAACGTGGCGGAGCCCACCAAAGCCCCACCAAAGCCATAGGCCTGCTTTTCACCACCACCAGTTTTGTTGCATTCTTTTTGTGTAATCAGTTAATTGATTTCTATATTTTGTAATCCATCTTCTGAATGAAATGAAGTAAGTTGTACAGAAATCCTGGCCTTTGGCAGGGGAGGGGCAAATGTCCCTATCCAAAGCACAGGAGAAAGGGTTGAGTTTTGACTAGGCGGGGCCTTGTCCGCAACGCAGTTCTAGTCTACAACAGTGAAACTATGCCCTTCGCTTTCTGTTTCATCCCGCTCTGTAATTCTGTTCCCCTTTAACCTTCCCATTGACCGCCGTCCCCAGTGAATTCTAAATTCTCTCCCTTCCCAAGGAGAGCTACTTTTGAAGCAGGGTGTTGGCACATAGATGTTCTTGGCTCTTCCTTCTTGGGGAGAGGAGAATCCCAGAGGCCTTTTCAGAGGTCTGAGCCCTCCGAGCATCACCTTGCATCCTTGGGAGCTGAGTGCTGTCACTCCATGCCGCCTCTCCTAGTAGAAAACAGCAGGAAAATGCTCAGGGAAGACCATCAGAGATTATCTATGCTTGAAATGTCTGAATATATGATATTGTGAATAAGTGTTTACATTACAAATAATGAGTTGGTGGTCCATAACCCAAAACAAATACAGTGTCCCCCAACTATAATCATATGGGCATATATCATGATCTGGGCTGTGCCACCAGAGGCCTACTAGGGCCAGGGAGCCTGGCTAGCAGTAGGTGAGGCTGGGCCTACAACTCCCAGAAGCCCTGAGAGGTTTTGGAGCCAAAACTGACCAATAGGAAAAGAGGAGGGCTTGGAATAAAAGATCTGGAGCAGCAGGAAAAGCTGTTTTTCTTTCCAGAGGGCAGAGCCAGAAGGAAGGCTGCTGCAGGAAGAAACCCTCATCCTGAGGGAAGGGTGAGTAGTCTAGTGTCACTTGGAATAGTGAGCTAGGGACGGTATATATTTAGACGCGTTAGGGCATTTGATTTCTTTTTCCCCCCACCCACTTACTGTTACTATTCTGCACCTTGTGGTTTGACCTCCTATAAAATAAACCTTTTCCTTGTTTCACTCTGCCTGATCCTTACGCCTGTTATTCGGCAAAAAGGGAGGTCAGAAGGTCTTGGGAGGGTGCTCTGGGTCTTCTCAAGGGATCCTAAATCCAGAGTGGTGGCCGCGTCAGGCGACACCCCCAACTGAGCCGTGACAGCACATATGATTACATTTGAGGGCTGCTTTGGGTCCTCACCGGGGAGAAAGTCAAGGTATAAATGAATTGACTAAATAAGTCACCACATTCCTTTTGATAAATTTAGTTCCACTCCCCAGGTGGATTATATTTGGGAACATTGTGTTTGTTTTGGGTTGTGGACCACCAGTTCATTATAGACTTTTATTTGTAATTTAAACACTTATTCAGTACATCATACACTCAGATATTTCAAGTGTGCACGAGCTTTGATGGTCTTCCCTGAGTGTTTTTCTGCTGTCTTCTACTGCTACACACCAGGGATCCCTGTTCTGTCAGCTCTCCCACTCATAGCTGCCTTCCTCCCAGTCCCTCCAGATCGCCGCTTTCCTGTTCACCGTCTGCCACGTGGTCATTGTGGTGCAGGACTGGTTCACGGATCTGAGCCTGTACAGGTGAGGAAATGGTGCGCGCGCGCATGTGTGTGTCTGTGTGTGAAGGAACAAGGAGCCAGCACTTGTCAGAATAAGGCGTTGTAGTTGCAGAAACAACCAGAGGAGAAATCCTAAACAGGTTTACTTGGAAGACCCGTTTGTGTTCAGCGGGGCTTGCTCTCCGGGAAGCGTTCTCAGGACCGCAGGCTCCGATTCGTATTCTTATCGCGAAGGAGACACAAGTCTGTCAGTTGTTACAACAAATATTTCTGGGAGAAGATGTGTAAAACTCTGGGACACTCTGTCTTAGGAGTGGAAGCCGGCCCGTAGCCAGGGCTCTTTTTGTAGCAGGTACTCATTTGCATATTAAGCGACACACCCCTAATGTAGCCAATCCTCCAAGAGCTGTAAGAAGAGCTCTGTAAGCTCTTGGAGGATTGGCTACATTAGGGGTGTGTGGCCTAATATGCAAAGGAGTTCCTGCTACAAAAAGAGCCCTGCCCGTAGCTATGGTGGGGCCTCCTGGGGCCCAGCCCCCAGACTTCCTCCCAAGGCCCCACGACTTTGGGGGTGTAACGGGGGGAGGCTGTGTGCACCTGCACTCCAGACTGTGAATTCGCAGCTTGGAGTGCAAGGCGCACAGCCCCCGCTTCTTCCCCAAAGCATTTAAAGGGACCCGTTAAATGCTTTGAGGAAGAGGCGGGGTGTGTGCGTGAATTTCAGTGCCCCGATTTTTTAAAAGCCCCCCTCATTTAAAAAATCCTTGCTACGGGCCTGAGTGGAAGATCTTTTGTTTCGGTTCCAGGCAGCCTGGGCGAGGTGGGTGGACAGGACTGGGGTCTCCCGTTCTTCAGGGAGCGGTCGGAAACCAATACACGCTGGAACAGAATGCAGAAAAAGATGGGCTGGATGGGGGATTATTATTTATTATTTAAAACGTTTACCAGCTGCCTTTCTTCCTTACGGGGGCTGAAGGCGGCTTACAATATAAACACAATGCATAAAATGGGGTACATAAAAACACAGAGAACCGATATTTAAAATCACAATTTATATGCATATCCCCTTTCGTTTCCCCCCAAATGCTCGAGTTCTCTTCTCTCTCCCTGGCAGGTTCCTGCAAACGGCTGAGATGGTGAAACCTTCCACTCCGTCCCCCAGCCACGAATCCAGCAGCTCCTCCGGCTCAGACGAGGGCACGGAGTACTACCCGCACATCGGTATGGAGGGAAACAAGTGTGGGTTGGCAAGGCGGGAGCAACAGTTGGTCTTACCCAGAACTCAAGTCTCTGAAAGGAGTTGTGTCTGGAGCATGCAGTGGGCTGGAAGCTGGGGAACAGTGGGTGGCGGCGGTCGACCTTAAGGGCACAGATCTGACAAAATGTGGCAAAAAGAGACCGGCGGACTTCATATGGAGCTCTGCCCTTTCCTCGAAGTTTCTATACATTTTATCTGGGGGAAGCCACGCTTCCCAGGATGTAGAATTTTACAGCGATGAAAAATGCCATCGAGCCGCAACTGACTTATGGTGATCCTCTACGGTTTTCAAGGCAAGAGTCATTCAGGGTGGTTCGCCATTGCCTGCCCTTTGCATTGCAACCTTGGTCGTCTCCCATCCAAATTCTGACCAGAGCCGACCCTGCTTAGCTTCCAAGATCTGATGAGATCGGGCTAGCCTGGGCCATAGAGGTCAGGGCATGGGATTTTTAACCGGAAATGAAATGCCATACTTGTGCACCTTTCCTGTTAACAGCCATGACACTTGTTAAATCAGGAGACCAGAGACACATTTCCCTCGAGAGCCAGTTTGGTGTAGTGGTTAAGTGTGCGCAGAGGTCGATTCGGGGGGGATCGCGGGGGATCGCAGTTCCCCCGGGTGAGGTGCGGGGGGCCGGGGCACACGATGAAGCCCCACCCCTTGCTTCCGGCCGCCCCACTTCCAGCCCTCATTCAGCCAGGAGGAGGCAGGAGAAGAGGGAGGGTAAGTTGCTTCCTCCCCGCCTCTTCCCACTCCTGCCTGCCTTGGGCCAGGGAGGGCCTTGGCGGGGCTTCCTCACACTCCCTCCGGCCTTGCAGGTCCACCACCAGGCCCCTGATGTCAGGGGGTGTGGCATATGCTAATAAGTTATGCTAATGAGTTCCCCTAGCTCTTTTTCTATGAAACGACCCCTGAGTGTGCGGACTCTACTCTGGAAGAACCAGGTTTGATTCCCCACTCCTCCACCTTGCAGCTGCTGGATGGCCTTGGGCAAGCCCTAGTTCTGTCAGAGCTGTTCTGTCAGAGCCACTCTGAGACGCCGAATGAAGGGCGGGGTATGAATCCAATCTTCTTTTTCCTACGAATGCCACATTTGGGTCAATGCTGGGGGCGAGAAGTCTGGCTTAAGGTATCTTTCTTGCACTCCTGAGCAGTGGAGACAGAATACGTGTGGTTTGCAAGGCTTGTGAAGCCCCACCCATTTCCTCTCTCTCCAGTCTTTCTCCAGAACAAAGCCAAGAGGGAGAACTTCTGTCCCCGGAACCTGAAGCAGATGCACCTTGTGGTCGATAAGATCATGATGCACTCCCACCTGAAATACAAGGGTAAACATGTCTTTCTGAGTCCATCCAAAGGCCAGGAGGCTGAGTTTAAAAAATCATAGCAGACGGTGGTGCGAAAGCAACGTGAGCTGTCTCGTGCCACTAGCTGAGTAAACTGAATAATAATAATAATAATAATAAATTGAATAATAATATAAATTGAAATAATAATAATAGGTATGGCAGGGGAAACGAAAGGTTGGGTCTCAATCAATGCTCCCTCTAAGTTGTAGAGTCTTGCGAGCAAAAATTCTACTCTGTGAGCTACCGGCATTCAAGTGGTGAGCGGGCGATTTGGACGCTGCATCAATTAGTTTGCTCTGGAGCCACATCCTTCCTGAGCGAAGACAAAAATGTGTGAGCCGGAGGCTAAGAAACTGTGAGCGGGCTCACACTAACTCAGCTTAGAGGGAACACTGGTCCCTCCCAATCTATATGGGTGTTGGTGGTTGGCCTTCAGATACAGGCTTCAGTCTTCCCAGAAGCAGAGAGACAGAGAAGGGGCCTGTAAGCAGTGGTTCTTGGTCAAGGCTCTTACGTCTACTGAAATATAAAACATTGTTCCATACCATTTTTGTTTGTGCTCTGGCAGAGAACGGTAACTTGATTGACGCTACAGTTTTACTTGGTATCTCATGGGCATCCCTTTCTACTTAGGCCGGGGAACACGTTGGCTTCTTGGGAGTGTGTTTATCCACCCTTCCAAGAGGCTTATGTTGTACAGAGCAGCATGACCCACTTAATGATGAATTCCTGGTTTTTTTCATGTGCCACGGCTCAGCATTCACTGACAGCCGCCATCTCAGAGCACTCATAGAATCATGGAAGGGATCTCCAGGGTCATCTAGTCCAACCCCCTGCACAATGCAGGGAATTCACAAATATCTCCCCCCCACACACACCCCCAGTGACCCCTGCTCCATACCCAGAAGATGACAAAAAGCCCTCTAGGATGTCTGGTCAATCAAACTGGCCTGGAGGAAAACTGCTTCCTGACCCCCAATGTGACTATGGACATTTTTACTTGGCATGAAATTATCACAACTAGCATATTAAAATATAGTGTATCCAAACAATTATTACAAACAGAATACCCACCCACATGCAAAAACAAAACTGAAACCTTTTTCTTTTCTTCTGACAATAGCACCTCCTAAAGGAAGAAATGCATCTTGTTCTTGCATTGGAGAGTTCAGTTTGTAACCTAGGACTTGCTTGTCCTCAGTGCACAGAAATTAGATCAATCTGATACTATATATATATATATATATATATACACACACACACACAC